ACGGAGAGCGGGCGGCCGCTGGAGGCTGCTGCGCCGGCCGTGGATGTTTCCATCGTGGACACCAGAACCCTGATGACTCAAGACGTCTCCGTCGAGGGGGCACTGATCTATGTAAGGGTGACAGAGCAAGAGCCAAAGGCGAATTTCATGTGTGCCTACATGGCCGGTCCTGACTTCGCTGTTTGGTCCACTCAGGGTGTTCGCTTGGCAACGGAAGCAGAGCTGGCTGACTTGGCCTTGCAGACAGGTTCTTCGAAGCTCTCCGGCACCTGGTGCGCCACGGAGCACCTTTCCATCTTCGGGGTTTCCTGGACATTTTGCTGGATTGCACGTGGCTTGGTAGCATGACAGGCCATAGGTCGGGAAGACACAATGGGTACAATTGTGATGGCTGCGGGAAACATGTTTCTACAATGCTGTTGTGTTTTTGATGTCAAGGAACGCCAACATGCTGTCCGCGGAGGGGCTGCGGGAGATTGTCGAACGGGAGGGCTGGTTTTGGCGGCCACCGGCTTTGATGATGTGGCTGCTTTTGCTGGGCTCGGTGCTGCTCCTCGTCTTCGGTTGCCGCCAAGATGCACGGGTGCACAGCTCTGGGTTGTGGCGCGACGAGTTTTTCCTCGCGGACATGCCCACAAAGGATGGAGGCCTCGCAAGCCTCGGAAGTCTCTGTGGGCTGTCCAAACAGGCCTCGGAAAGCCAACCTTCTCAACACCCCGCCGAAGAACCGAAGAATCCAGGCATGTCTCGCAGAGAAGCTGGAGAGCTCGTCTGGGGAAGAGCTCAAGGTTTCTTTCATGGAAGCCTTCTGCCAACCTTTCGTCCTTATCCGAGGCACGTCGTCAGCTCCTCCGTGCTCCAACCTTGGCTTCGAGGCTTCGCGAGCGGCTCCTTTGCCAGAACACGCTCTGGGAAGCGGCACGCAGGTGCGGTCTGCACTGCAGCTCCATCGAGATGCACGTCTGGGGGCAGAAAGGCTGGGTCCAGGGGAGTGTGGCTGCGCAGAAGTCGCCGCAGCTGAAGGAGCTGGTCATGGCGCTGGATGAGGTGCTGCCGCAGTCATTCCTGACTATCCACGCTTCTCGTTGGCACCTGATCGGGACGGCTCTCTTCACGATGCACCCAGTCTACGAGCTCTCCATGTGCGACCTTCACATGACTGCGACGAAGCGAGCCAAGATCGTTGTGGACTGCATCCTCGGTTCTCTGTCGTTTGTGGCCTTGTTCTTCTCCGTGGACGGCACAGCTGTGGCAGCCAGGAGTCCATCGGAGTGTCCCTTGCAACAGGGAACACTCGTGTGGTACCTGTTCGTGGCTTTCTTTTCCGTGCTGCTGAGCTTTGTTCCGCGCAGTCTAGAGCTCTATCTTGCTCGCCGCAGCTTTGTGCCAGAGAGCCGCAATCATGCTCGTCAACTTCGGACAAGACGCCACAGGGATGCAGGGTTCTGGGTCTTCAGCACGTGTCTCGCGCTCCTCTATCTCCTGGTTATCATTGCTTTCTTGGCCAACCTGTCCGAGGCAGACGAGTGGAAATGGATGTTTACCTTCTGGGTCGTTCTCCTGCGCAAGCTCTTCATCGTGCCTGTCTTGGCATGCCTCGTCTCGGGGCTTGGGAGCGTGGCCGTCGGCACGGCACCTGAGCCACCCAAGAAGTTCGGCTTGGACTTCTCCTCGCTTTGCGACGGCGGCGAAGGCGAAGGAGACCAGAAGAGTCAGAAGAGCGAAGGCCAAGGAGCTTGGGCCGAGAAGGTGCAGGAGCTGGCTGGCAGGGGCCTCACCATCCGCCAGCTGCTCGAGTTCTATGCCATGCTGGGTCGCGAGGTCATGGAACACTTCAGCCCAGAAGAGTCAACCACACACGATGCGCCATGCTGAGACTTAGAAATCTCGTCCTTATTTTTTCTAAGCCTGCATGTCAAGTTCAAGTGCCCGACAGTTTCGGAAGCCGCTGTGAGAAGTGTCAGGTCGTACGCCAGGCCATCATCCCGCTCTCTCTGCACATGAAACGGCGCCGCTTCGAGGTGGTCATCCATGAGACGGCGGCCTGCAAGAAGGCCCTCGATGCTCTCCGAAGTGCTTCGGCCCCTGCCCCTGCCCTGGAGATCTGCGTGGCGAAGAAGGGCCTTGTTGGTGAGAGGGGTGAGAGGGCCGTGAGCTACGCGGTGATCTGGGACGAGGCCATCCTGGTGGAGGACCTCTGCCTTGACGACGGCCTGCTCTTCCGTGTCTCCGACAAGGAAGAGCTCTCCTTAACCGTGGCGGCCACAGACTTCTGGCAAGGCTTCAAGGGACCCTTCCAGCTCGACGGCTTGGAGCTGCACGTCCTGGCCTTGGCCTCCCTTGTTGACACGCTTTTCCCCCGGGTGCTTTGCGTCTGAGCGGGCCGCTGAGGTTACCATCTTGGTCAAATCCGACCTGGATGAGGTCCAATCCGAGCCAAACGAGGAGGAGGGTGGCAACCAGACGTGCCAGGCAGAGGCGACAGCGCAGGGCTCAGTGTCGAAGCCTTAGGCAAAGGTCACGTTGTCAGCCTGCGCTCATGAAGCCCAACAGCCCCAAGCGCATGTGGGCAGGCGGCGAAGGTGCAGGCGCGGGGGGTGATGCCAAGTTCAGCGAATGCTCCGCTTCCAGGCATCCTGGCCCAACTTGTGTACAGGGTTCGAGGCGGCCCAGCTGCCAAAGAACTTCGTCCCACTCAGAAGGAGTCGCAGTCCTGTCCATTGTTTGGTGTTTCCTCTCTGCTTCTTCGTCTTCTTGATGCTGCTGCTTTCCGCCGCAGCCGTCACAGCTGCTGCTGCTGCTGGTGTCGGTGTCGGTGTCGGTGTCGTCGTCGTCAGGAGGGGAGTCACTTGTGTCTTGTTTTTTCTGTGTCACTTGTGCCTTTTTGTCTGTGTAACCTATCTCCTTTTTCTTCTTGCGACACAACAGTCTCGAGCGAAAGCCCTCTTTTGCTAGCCGCCCACTGGCAAGAAACTTCCCGAGTTCGGGCCTTCTTTCGTTAGGGTTTCGGTCAGGGTTTACATAAGCTTGAAAGAAACCTGAACCCCTAAAAGGAGTAAACCCTGGCCGAAGCCCTAAAAGGGGTACACCCAGACCGAAACGTATTTTTGTATATCTGCACAGACATGTATCTATATATA